TTTTTATAATAAAATATTAAAAAAATCACAATTTTAACACTTTATATCGATCCCAAGTACACAACCTAAAACTTCCTTTAAACAGGATTGAGAAATTTTGAGTGTTTTGCACCACTTAGACATCACTTAGCTCAATAATCTCCTTAGAAATCTTTGTTTCTTTATCTTGGTTGGACATGTATACGTATATAATTTCCGTCAGGAGTTTGGCCTCCCAAAAGTTGGTCCCAAATCACCATTGCTTGAGAAAAGATAAAGCCACATGGGCGGCGACGGAATAGTTAAAGTAGTAGGTGTGTGATACCTTAGCAAAATCTTTACATTAATAAAGTATGAGAAAGATGTTAAATATATAATTTAATATTTATTATTTTTTATTAATGTGTTTTAAAATTATAAAATTTCATAGATTAAAATAACCAACTATCTAAATAAATTTAGTAATTATCTCTTTTTGTTAAAAATAAAAAATTATGAATTTGAGCCGTATAGTATACGATTGGGAAGGGGTGAGGTGGGGTGAGATGAGGTGGGATGAGATAAAAATAAAGGATGGTTATTTTTTATTATACAATTAATATAAAAAAATATTAAAATAAATAACAATAATAGTAAATTAATTTGTTATAAGCCGACCAAAATACCATTGGCTGACTCGTTCCATAGCTTTTAGGATTTTGTTAGTTATTGTAGTCTCTGCTTTTGATCTTCCATAGCCCTGCCAGCCTTTTACCTTTACGTCCACGTCGGAGGACCAGTTTTGTTATTTATTATTATTATTTTTTTAACAGGGGGGAATTTGGGGGAAAGAGGGAATAGGAATCCGAACTAAAGCAGCCAAAGCTGCAGGTGCCAATTTTGTTAATTTTTATGCATTTGGATTAGCAAACTTTAAGACTTCAATCTTTTAAGTTTAGGAATTAAAAATATATATTAATAAATAAATTAATTAAATAATAAAAAATATACTTTTTATACTGAAAAAGTATAAAAAATAATTTAAAGATTAAAAATAACATTTAATTAATTTTAAATTGTATTTTATAGTGCTATAATTATAATGCTACAAAAAATTATAATTTATAATTATAATATAATATTAAATAAATAGATTTGTTATTAAATAAATAAATAAAATAACAAAAATAAACTCTTAAATAAAAAAAATAAACCATATAATAATATATTATATTTTAAATTTATAATATTATATAGTAAAATAATTATATCATTTCATTTCTCATAAAAAAACAGTTTCAATTTATTTTTGTAGTAACGGTAAATGAGTATTCTTTCTTTCTTTCTCTCTCCTTTTTTCCTTGTTCCTTTCCTTGTCTACCCTTAAAAGTTGGGAAAAAATTACATATTCCCCCCGAACAAAAAGTGTGAAATTAGTTTTCCTCAATTTACAAATATGTATCTTCAAGCCCATAAACTTCACAAAGTTGAGGTATTGAATCCAATTTAATTTAACGCTAATGTTTCATGTGCCTCACGTTCGTTGCCAGTCCGTAAAGAATCGCCATGTATCACCTTACAGATCAGTAAAGTTTGTCAGATTTTCCAATTTAGTGGCAAATTGCCCGCCCAAGCTGAATATGAGTTTGACTTAAATATAATTATTTTGATTCTTGTTGTTGTAACCATATGTCTTCAATTACTGCTCATTTCTCTTCAATGTCACTTAATAATTTCTTTCTTGATATTTATTCTGTTTATGATTCCTCTATGAATGTTAATTGCATTAACAATGTTTCTACAAAGTCATTGATTTTACCAAATAGAGTCAATGACTTTACAAAGTCATTGAAGATATAGGCATTTGGTAAAGTCAATGACTTTGTAGAAATATTGTCAATGTGACTAACATTCATAGGGAAACCATCAGCAGAATAAATATCAAGAAAGGAATTATTAGGTGACATTGAAGAGAAATGAATAGTAATTGAAGACATATGATTATAACAACTAGAATCGAAATACTATGGTTTGGTACCCGGAGCAGTAGATAAGGTAGTAGGAGCATTAAAAGATTTAATATCACCTATTTTAGGGATTCAATGTTGACATTAGGTTGTTCTATCACTTCTTTGGCAACCATAGCAATAGTAGGATGAGTTATAATCCTTTTAAAACTCGCCATAGAATCAGTAAACTACAATATTGAAAAACTCTAAAAATATGAAGAAATAGATGCTAAGATAGAAATAACAAACCAACTAAATACCTCAGAAAGGGCTTGAGAATTGAGGATAAACAATCCAATCTGTAGAAGAAAAAATCCCAACGACAAAATTTCAGATCTGGAATGGAATTGAAAATCCAATTCCAAAAAAACCTAATAGCGATGATAAGGGAAAAGAACCAGGAGTTTATAGCTTTGATACCATGTTGAAAAACTAAAAAGAAGAATAATTTGAAGAAAGATTTATTGCTTTCTTGAATCATACTGTATGTATAATGACCTATATATAGATGTTTACAAAGAGAATATTTTAAAGTATAAAATTTTTACAATAATTCTAAATATAATTGTGTTCACATCTTAACAACAATAAATTGTATTTATTATTAAATTATCATTTCTTAATAATCCATCAAGATCATATATTTTTATAAAAAATTATTATATAATTCAAACTATTTTAAATTATATAATAATAATACTTAGATAGGAAACAAATCTTTTAATGTTAAGAACTCTCTTCTTGTTTAACTATCTTTATTTTATAATTTACTAACGAGCTGTTAATCCAAGTGATCGAAGAAAATAGCTCGGTTTCTTTAAGTAAAGTCTCGAGTTCGAGTTTTATGAATAGAAAAACATGTGTTGGAAGAGTTTTTCCCCTTATGAGAGTTTTTAACTTTAGGAAGTCCAACGTTACTCGATTCTAAATTAATTGAACTCAATATAGTTATTGGATACCAGAAAGTTAATAAAAAAATCTTTATTTTATAATTTTAACTATATTATAAAACACTTATGATCATAACTTTATTTCATTGTTAAAAGAAAATTAATAGGTACCAGCGGCATGAAAAATGGACTTAGTTGGATGACAGTCTTCACATCGAGAGGGTCTCTCCCAATTCAAAGGCTAGTTAGTGAACAACACAATTTTATTTGTAAAATATATAATACACACATCAATTGTCATAATAATAAATTTAATTCAACTATTATAACGAGTTATAAATTTAAATTACATAGTATATGGTAAAACCATAACATATTGATTATTACTGCATCAATGGGAAAAGTTTAAATGCCTACTTAGGTGCGTTATTCCTCATTTTTATTGAAAAAAGAAAAAATACATTAGCACCATGAAACCGACTAAAGACCCTGTTTCAACTTAGAAGAGAAGACTCAAAATGGTACCCGTATTGTTGGTTAATCTAATCAAAGCACCATTTATCTGCGAAATCGGTGCCATGTTGAAGTTGTTGCAGGTGACGACGGCCTTGTTAACAGAAACAACCTTGGAAAATGCATCCTTGTATTCCTTCCGATCGAAAAACTGGAGACCCACATTCAAATCGGTGATGCTTTCGTTGTAGTAGGCCGCACACGCTGCGTACATGCCCCAGCTGGGGTAGTCTGGAGCTTTTAAGACCCACCCTCTAACCACCGGATAGCCATCTTTAACTTTGGAAGAAGACACCTGCATGGAGATCTGGGCTAGGGTTGGCAGATCAGCATTCGAGCTCCGCGGGTTCGATTCCAAAGCTTTAATGCACTCCGTGGGATAATAAGTTCGGTTGCAAGTTTTGGTTATCAGGGCTTTGCCTGTCTCGGTGGCTGCGTTGGCGAAATACGGGCTGAGAAGAAGCAAAGTGGAGAGGAGGAGGAAAGTCCGGAGAGGCTGGGACGCCATTTTTACTGAAAACAGAGAAGAGGGAATGGATGAAGAGAAAAATTGAAGGGCTCAGCTCAGCATATGCTTTGTATGAATGAGTATATATAAATAGCATGCATTTTGTAGTTAGTGCTTCTTGGTCAATGTAAACGGGAGAAAATGAAATTGATTCTAAGAGAAATCATCATGGACGGAGAAAATGAACTTTGAAATTGGACAATTGATTAAGGAAATGTATTAATTTGTAATCAGATACTCAAGATTTCGTGTCAATATTCTAAATCCATGAAAAAGTCTTCTCAAATATTGAAAAAAGTACTCCATTTGTTCCTTCTTAATTGTCTGTTTTGGAAAATTTTTTTCTATTTTAATTGTCATTCTCTAAAAAAAAAAAAAATCTGTTTGACAGTTTCAAGAGCTTTTATTTTTCTTTATTTTATTGTCTAAAATAGTTTGAACAATAGACAACGAACTTTCTAAAATCAATAATATAACATTTATTTATTTGCTTATTTTTACAATTTTACTTTGAAAAGTTAAGTAGTACCATTAGATGCAAAAATATCAACGCCTAAAATAGGAGAGGGTTTTTCAAATGGAAAATTATTGATATATTATCTACTTCAATATATATCTATTAACATTTATTAGTTCATGTATTAAATTATGTAATCGAAAATTTTT